CCCCCCCGGCTGAAACTGTGAGCAGCGGGGGGGGGGGGGGCAGGAGGTTTTTTTTCCCCCCCCCCCCAAGTAAGCGACCTCCCCGTCACCGGTGACCTGCTGCCGCCGTGCTTTTGGGTGATTTCCACAGTGACTTTCAACCTTTGACGCTCAAACAAGCAGCAGAGAGCCCGCACAGGCGTTCATGCTGTAGGTGCCTAAGAGTGTGAGGGGTTTGTGTTGGGTTTGTTGGTTTTTGTTTGTTTTGTTGTTTGTTTTTTTTTTGTTTTTTTAAATAATGATCTGCAGCTTCTTTTTATTCGCCCTCGTTCCAGTCTCCGAGGTCCGCCTGGTTAATGATTTCAGCCTAAAAAAAAAAAAAAAAAAGGATTAAAATCAACAAAACGCGCGGAGGAGAGGCTCCTGTTGCCGCGTAACCCGACTCCCGCAGCCGGCGGTACCGCACGGCGAGGGCGACACCCGCCAGCTCCCGGGGTGACCGGCGGGCAGAGGGGACCCCCCTAGGGCAGCACCCTAAGACACGTGGTTACCATTTAGCCGCTCTCCTCAAATAAAGATTGCCTTTCTTCCCACCAGATGCCCGGAGGCTTTGAAAATCAGGGTCTACTCTTCTTTTTTTAATGACGAAATGGCCTAATTCTGATGCTTTTGCCTAAGGGTGCTTTAACGCCCTTGCTACGAAGCCGTGGGGCTGTGTTTCGTGTATTCCTTGCTGTGACGAATATTATATATTATTTTTAATTGCAGGGTGAGGCCAGAAGGACAGCCCCCCCCGCCCCGAGGTCCCGCAGCCTCGCTGTGCGGGACAGGGCCGCGGGGCTGGTGGGATCCTCCGCCGCCCGGGGACTTTTGCGTGCCGGGAAAAGGTTTCAGGGGTCCCTTCTGCTGGGTCGGACACGGGGGAAAGTTTTTCGGGTTTCTCTCTGGGAGAGCTGGCTGTGGGAAAGAGCTGGAAAGGGAGGGACGCGGGGCACGGCAGAGCCCCCCTCCCCACCTCTCCAGAGCGGGGCTTCTCCCCATCGCCCCCCCGGTCCTTATCACGGATATCAGGCACGATCAAATCCCATCCGCAATTAGCTATTCTACCTCCGCCCTCATCCCCACAGCAGTGGTCGGAGAGACTTAATTCTTTTTTTCATTTAATATAAAACCCAGCAGACAAGCAAAATCCTCCATCCCCAAGCGTTCCCTGGGCCGGTCGTTGCCCCGCTGAGAAAGTATCGTTTTCTGCATCGAAACCTGCCGGACAAACTCCCCCGCACACCGTTGCCTTCTTATTTCTCTACCCAGGAAATAAAATAAATCATCAGAGCCGGTCAAAAAGCCTTCCAGCGAATTGTTTTCCACGGGACAAATTGAATTCCTCCTCCTGGAGGCATTTTGCGGGAGTAGCTCTGTTTCACGCGTGTCCCATGCTGGGCTCCGTGTCTGTGGGCAGCTGTGGGCATCGCCTTCCCTTCTGAAAACGTTTTCCCCGC